AAATATATAAAATATGTCCTTACATATTTATACATCCCTCTTTCTTCTATAAAATTATTTTTTAGTGTAATAATAACAGAAATAATAACAGTAACGAAACATAAAAAATAAAGGGATAATTTTCGCATTGTTTGTTTTAGAAAAAAAAACATATAAAATTTTGAAAACATAAAAAAATTGTGTATATATAATTATGCATAATTTTATATATATAATTATTACGTAAATAACTTTTTTACATTTCTTTAAATTTGATTTTTTTCTAAAACAAATAATGCGAAAATTATCTTTTTAATTATTTTTAATGTTTCCATATTACTATTATCACTTCTATTACTCTAAAAAGTAATTTTACAAAAGAAAAAAGGATATATAAATATGTATGGACTTATTTCATATATAATTATATATTTATGAATATTTATGCGTGTTTATGTATGTTTATACATATTTATACACATTCATACATAAAAAAGTTTTTACCGGGAAATAATATAAAATTGAAGAATGACGACTTTTTATCGAACTTGAGTGTTTCAATTTCAATTTTGTGAATCCTTCTCTTTTTCAGTTTTTATGCTAGATAAGATTATCAGTCTAATGGGGAGAGTTCCATTCTCCATCTCCATTCCATTTCAAATATTGTGACCATGAACATTTTTAAATTCTCGTTAGATATGTGTCTTTATTAGTGTATACAGACTTTTTGATCAAATATATACTACTAATAATCGTGTAAATACTACTAATAATCGCGTCTCCAGATAATATGACAAACGTATGCCAACATGAGCAAATATTATAATACATATATATGACATAATTATCCATATCGAATGTAGATCAGTATTTAACGAATATGTGCAAAGTTGACGTATATACGTCGTCTGGAGGCGTTTTTATAGATAATATCATTTGCTCATATTTTATATAACATATATAAAATATATATTGTTATTATACCAGGTGTATAAGCTTAAATCTGCTGTTTGCTCATAGGTGGCATTAGTGAGCGTTACAAAATTACCCTGAGCACACAACATACTTTTTTTATGTGTTTGACATCTGTCAACATTAACCAGTGCACATCATCAGCAATTTCATACAACATTTTTTCTTTCATGTCTAGTTTTTTGCTTAAAAAAAAGCATATGCGGAAAGCTTTGCTTTTCTGTTTCAATTTGAAGAAATCGGCTGCCGAATCGCATCGAATGCTTGTGGAGGCCTATGGCGACAATGCTTTATCGGAAACAACGTGCAGAGATTGATTTCGCCGGTTCAATGCTGACAATTTTGACCTGAGTGACAAGAAGCGTGATCGGCCTAGGAAGGTTGAGGACTGTCAATTGCAAGCTCTTTTGGACGAGGACGATACCCTATCGCAAAAAATGCTTGCTGAGCAATTGGGTGTTTCTCAAGCAGCCATTTTCATGCGGCTACATACCATGGGGAAGGCATTCAAAAAATCGGAAAATGGATGCCGCATGAACTGAACGATAGGCAGATGGAGCGACGCCAAAACACATGCCAAATTCTGTTTGCCAGACAAAAAAGAAAGTCGTTCCTGCATCGGATTGTGACAGGCGATGAAAAGTGGATCTATTTTCAGAATCCTAAACGCAAGAAATCTTGGGTTGACCTCACTCAACCATCAACATCTTCCTCAAGACCAAAATCGCTTCGGACGGAAGATGCGTTTGGTGGGATCAGGAGAGTGTCATCTACTACGAGCTGTTAAAACCTGGTGAAACTGTTAATGCTCACCGCTATCACCAACAACTGATCAAATTGCACCGTGCTCTGCGTGAAAAAAGGCCGCATTATTATCGGAAAAGACATGACAAGCTGATTTTCCTCCACGACAACGCACCATCACACGTCAACAATGGTCCAAAACTACTTGGAGACACTCAACTGGGAAGTGCTATCCCATCCCATTTACTCACCAGACCTGGCACCTTCTGACTATCACCTGTTTTCGTCGATGGGCCACGCGCTCGCTGAGCGACACTTCGATTTTTATGAAAACGTCCGAAAATGGCTTGATGAATAGTTTGCCTCGAAAGATGAGGAATTTTTTTGGCGTGGTATACACAAATTGCCCGAAAGATGAATAGGGAAAAATATATAGTTAGCGAGAGCAAGTACCTTGAATAAATTTGTTTTTGCTTCCTAGGAAAAAAAATGTGTTTTTCTGACTAAAAAACAGCGGATTTAAGCTTATACACCTGGTATACATATATATTGTTAAGAAAGAGAGCTCTAATACAAGTTCGTTTTGTGAAAATTTTAATATTTATTAATTTAAATAATAATTGATATATCTATATATAATATTAAAAGAATTAGATATTAAACTCATTGCATTTTTAATACACTATTCATTTAGTACACTACTCATTGAATTTTTTTCTCTGTATTTTAGAAATGATGACAAAACATCAGTTATGAATGAAGAAGTATATATTTCTAAACTTCGACAAGCAATACCACAATGTTGCGCAGTTGGCGCTAAAAATTTACTCCTGATTACTTTCGGTACAACCTTGGGATTCTCAACTATCCTTATCCCGGCGTTACAAAAGGAGGATTCGGACATCAAAGTCACAATGGAGGAATTAACATGGATCAGTAAAGAACTATTTTTAAATATAGCATGTCAAGAGAATGCACAACATAGAATTATTTTAAAAATTTGTGTTCTAAAATATAATATTTTTCTTTTATCTATCAAGGAGATTCCCTTCCTTTTTTCTTATAATACTCCTTCATTATGATATTTAAGTTTATTAATTTAAATTTATTAATTAATTTTAATAATTAAATTTTATGATAAGTTGTAATATTAGTTCGTCATATTATAATTATATCGTCATATTAAAATTATTCAACATTTAAATTATTAATTTTAATTATCATTTTACTATATACATTTACAATTTAACTGAATAATTTAACTGGATGTCATATAATAATCTTATTTACTGTATCTGCATCAAAATAATTATCATCTCTCTCTCTCTCTCTCTCTCTCTCTCTCTCTCTCTCTCTCCCTCCCTCCCTCCCTCCTGTTTTCATTATTAACATATCCTCTTCCAGGCAGCCTGAACTTATTTCTCGTGCCAATCGGCTGCTTAGCGAGTGGACCGGTATCACAGTATTTGGGTAGAAAACGAACAATGATGCTGGCAAATATACCGTTCGTCGTGGCCTGGCTGATATATTACTACTCCAGCAATCCCGGAATGTTGCTTGCGGCGCTCGCGATAACAGGCTTGACAGGAGGCCTCCTCGAAGGTCCAGTTATAACTTATGTCGCTGAGGTAACGCAACCCTATCTGCGAGGGATGCTCTCTGCGACTTCCTCAATGGCGGTGATCCTGGGGATCTTCACGCAAATGTTGAGTGGCAGTTTGGTCCACTGGAGAACGGTGGCGCTAATCAATCTGATTTATCCGATTCTGTGTTTTCTCGCTTTATGCTTGGTGCCCGAGAGTCCACACTGGCTCGCCGGTAGATTATCAATCAAATCATTTGTTATTGATTTGACAAATTTGCCAAATTTTTATTATTAGCTTATTTTTATTCTTAATTTCTTAAATTATTTATTTGTTACTTATTTAATAAATATTAACCAATTATTATTTATCTTTCTTCTCAAATATAACAATTACGAAACGAGCAATTATGATTAAATATTTTAACGATTTAATAGAATATCGTCAGTAGAATATCGTTGTTTTAAACTTTTTTCATCATTTTTGGAAGAAATAAATATTATAAATATATGTAGCCTAATCTTGTATGAAAATATTTTTAAGAGTTATTAGGTTTAAGTTTTAAATAATACAGAAAATTGATTTCTTCTAGTTAAAGGTCGTCTCAAGGAATCAGAACACGCTCTCTGCTGGTTGCGCGGTTGGGTAAACCCGTCTTACGTGCATAATGAATTTGGAGCGCTTTGCGAGGCAATTCAGAAGCCGACCGATAATACCGGCTCTGAAAAGGAAAAGATTTGGCAAGCCTACACGAATCGAACTTTCTACCAGCCTTTCTTTTTGGTCAGCTCGGCATTCTTTATCAGTAACTTCGGCGGCTGCACGACCCTGCAGACTTTCGCCGTTATAATATTCGCGAAATTGAACGCACCAATCGACAAATACACTGCCACGGTATTCCTGGGCATAGCCCAGTTAATAGGCATCACAATATGCGTACTAACAATCCATCTTATGGGAAAACGCAAGCTGTCCTTCCTTTCGGTCGGCGGTACCGGATTATGCTTCCTCACTACCGCTATCTATGGTTATTTAAGCAATGCAGATTATTTGGACGGGATTAAATACAGCTGGGTACCTACTACCTTCATGATAGGCGGTGCTTTCATGGCAAACATTTGCATCAGGACATTGCCTTGGATTCTCGCTGGAGAGGTGTTCCCCGTAAAAGTACGTGTATTTTACATTATTATTTATAGAATCCGATCTTTTTATCGAACTTTTACCGAAACTGAAAACGAACATTCATTATGTGTTTCAGTTTCGACTATAGCTCTTTTTCATAAATATTAATTTTGTTTATGTGTAATTATTGTTTTAATAAATTAAATTATAATTTACGAAGAAGTACTTATATACAATATACATTCTTTCAAAATTGATACACAACCGAAATTTCGGTTTTCGTTTTCGGCTTAATTTTATTGTTTAATAAATTATGATATTCATGAAGAAAAAAATGTGATATATGAGGATGTTTATACATATGACCTTTATAGGATTCCTATTTTTTAATTTTGGTTTCGATTTCAATTGAAATTGACATGTAGCCGAGTGTTCAGTTTTGGCAAAAGTTTCGATCGGAATCTAATTATTTATATTTTTCTTTTAATACTTTCAAGTTTTAATCTCTGAAATTATTTAAATTCCATTCACATTTAATTACCAAACTACTTCTCTTCTATTAGATTATTAAAAAAGGTTTGAATCACTTTTCATTCTTCGGTTTTTACTTACAAATTTATTCTGAAATAACGACAATTATTCCTCAAAATACAGACTATCACGTTTAATAACCATTCACCAATCTGCTAATTATCGAATTTCATCTCGGTACTTCTTTAGATGAGCTTTAACTTTTTTGACAGTCGTCCTCGATATAACTACACACAGTATGATGGACACACTGAACTTTTTTCAGTGATCTGCAATTTTTAGTACGTATATGCCAGTTGTACAGGAATATGATAGACATATTAGCTTATGAATAAGCTTAATAGAAATTTAAATTTAAGAATCTGTCTTATCAGCTCTATTGTGTATTATCAGGAATATGATGGCAAGTCATGTGATCTAGAATCCACTACATCAAAGAAGCTCAAGTCCTCACTGTGTGTACTTATATTGTGGCAAGACTGTATATGACTGTATAGCAGGGGCAATAGGACCGTCTAGACCAATGTTGAGATTTACTTGCATTTCGACCGATTTTCAACTTGATTTCTGCTCCTTGCTTCAACCTAGCCTAAATGTCGATTAGCTCCTTAAAAAAAGAGGCAGGAACCAACCAAGCTGAAAATTGGCCGAAAAATGCGTAAATCCCAGCACTGATCTAGACCAGTAAAATCGAAAATGAAATTGATTATTGGCGAATTATTGAATCTGGTCTTTAATTTTAAAGAATATGTCGTTGTTTTTGAAATATTTGTATATGAAAATCATTTTCCATGTAAAAATTGAATGATGATTTAGAATTTTTTTAACAAACTAATATTAACTTAATAATCAACTGATCTTTCCAAATTAAATGAAGATTGAATTATTATTAGAACGCTTATAAACATATATTTTTCTTAATCTCACAAGAGAATCACACGAAGTGTTAAATTCTGATTTTAATAAATCTTTGTATACATAGGTTACATAAAAAGATGAATTTAAAAACTATTAGTTGCGGCGAGAAAGCGATTTAAAGGGAGTGAAATCATTCCTTATAACGGGCTTTTTTTGGTGTATCTTAAAAATTATTCAAGATATCAAAAAATGTTTTATACAAAACTTTTACAACAAAATTACTTCTATTCATCCATGTCAATAATATTTTTGAAAATATTTTTAATTAAAAAATGTTTAAAAATATTATTGACAAATAATTAGAGATAATTTTGTTGTAAACTTTTTATATAAACTTTTTTTGATATTTCGAATAATTTTCGAGATATAATGGAAAAAATTAAAAACCATTTTACCACATAAGGAGTAATTTTATTCAAACCATTTTTTCGCTGCAATAAACATTTTCTAAATTCATCTTTTTATATAATTTCTCTATTTAAAATGTCAAACAGAAGCGTACAGAAAATAACCTATCCATTTAATATGGATATTTGTCCCTGCATTATACGATAAAAACTACTAAAAAACTTAGTTGTTTCTGTTCGTATACAGGATACTTTAAACGTGGATATACTTTGCTTGAAGAAACGCATAGAATGTCCTTTGAAATACGGACAGAAATCATAGTTTTACAGTAACTAATAAATGCAGATATGTTGCTAGTTATACACTCACGTTACAAATGGACATTTGATGTGTCACAAGCAATATTGTCAAGAACGTGTAAATCTCGTGCTGGTAATTGCACATTCGTGATTATACTAGATACATATATAATTCCTATTGTACATATATTGCGAACACAAAATTGTGCTCACTGAAACATAAATATTTTTTATCTACAAATTTATTGTACTCATAAAGCTACAAAGTACGATTCGATTCTCGCAGATGTTGTATCCGCATCTAATGATTTCTATTGTAAATTCTAACTAGGGCTACAAAGTATATACAAAGATTCATTTAAAACCAGAATTATCACTTCGTGTGATTTTCTTGTCAATTTCGATTTCGAATTCATCAGGTACGCAGCAGCGCAACTGGCGCGGCTGGTATGATTGCCTACATCATGGCGTCGATCGCGAATAAAACCTTTCTCTATATGGAGAACAGCATGTCGCTACCCGGGACGATTTTCTTCTACTCTATGATCAATCTTGTTGGTTTGTGTCTACTATACGTGATATTACCCGAGACCGAGGGTAGAACTTTACAAGAAATCGAGGAGCATTATGCCGGTATACAGAATTTAAAGGATCGACCGAGAAAGGAGCAAAAGGCCACCAAAGAAAAATGGGCAGTCGCGAATCCAGCAATCGTACACGACGAGAGTACCGAAAGTAAATTGTAAGTCGAAAATCGGCTAACAACTCTTTCGAATTAAACTACATTATTAAATACCTATATTATTGCATTTTAAAATAAAATTATCTCTATCAAAAAACGTTATGATTGCCACAACAAAAATTATTATATTTTTCTTCCATTAATACAATTTGGTTGTAAAAACTTTATAGTACGGTTGTGGTATAACTGTAGTATGGTTATAAATCGCAAGATAGAATATCTTAACAGTTTATGACCTGATTTTTCATTATTTGGTTAACTTATAATATTTTATCAATAAGCTTCATCTGTGACGATGTTATAAATGAAGTCCAATGAAGTCCAATGAAGTCCACGGGAAACATCAAGTTAAGCTTAAGCATAAATGAATCAGATAATGAAAAATCGGTCCTGTGGTCATACTATAGTTCTTACAATCAAATCGTATTGATGGGAGAAAAATATTATTTTCAATCGTGGCAATTTTTTTTTCGTATTATTTGTTTTATTATACTTTAAAGTAGAGAGAATTATGCAATTTTCTTTTACGTATATCTATGATGCTTGCAAAATTATAGATATTTTTTTAATAAGGACTATATAATTGCGGATAATATTTAAATTTAGTTAATATATGTATAATTCCGGTTATAGTATGGACTTAAGTATACAATTGTGCGGCTTACTTTGCTACTTAATGCAAATTACATGTTAGACGAGAAAAAGTTGTTTCGTGAATAGATGAATAGACATCTACAATGTAAGGAGGAGCAAGAAGCGGGAAATCAAATTCTTTCGAGGAAAATTTCCGAGAAAAGATTAAAGAAATAATATGTTGAAGAAATAGTTGAGGAAATAATATTTTTATTTATTTTATATTATTTAAAAGAGAGACGCGATTGCCAAAGCATTATTGATATTACTGCAGATATTACTGCTGACTAATCTCTAGAAATGCAGAAATTGATTTTTTTTATTTTAACTGGACTCAGTGAAGTTTCTCAAAATATCATCACATTTGCCATATTTATCACGTTTGCCATGTACTAAATTAACTAAATAAAAAAAACAAAAAATTTGGATTAAAAAAATAAATTTCTAAAGCTTAGCAGAATATTTGACAGACTTATTTTGTTGACTTTTAAGATTTATTTTTTCATTATTGCTTAGGGAAACTTTTACATTTTATAAAGATTCTTGCATTCTTTTATTGCGATTGAATATATTGACACATAGGTTTATAAAAAAAATTAAGGAAATAACAAAAACGAAATAGAAATAAGCATTATAACGCTATTGCGTATTTCATATCATTCTTCTCTGTGATGAATTGACAATTTTTAATACTAAACGTAGAATATATGTATATAT